GGCAGCAATTTAATAATATGATATGTAAAAATTTAACATATGTCTTTACACCTTGTCTTAAAAAATGAATGGGGTTGCTTCAATACCAAAAATAAAAGCTCCCTCCTAAACTTACACATGTTTTAGTTTACACAACATGTTAAATTAATTCTCACAGTGCCACAACAGACCCTCCTGTTAACACTTCATTGGCAAGACCATGCTGAAAAGTGAGTGAGCTGACTTTCCGGAATGCTAGCATGAATTTCCAGTGAAGACATAACTTATAAGTTTTGCCCAGTTCTTCCAATCTTCAAGTCTATGTACAAACTATACAGATGGAGTAGAGTTTCGTTAAAAAAACAAACAACAAAAAACCCATTTTAGGGAGAATGTCCCAGGATAATAATTTGATTCATCAAAAATACTTTAAATCATGAATGAAGGCCTTTGTGAAAGAAATACAATAGGCAGCCAGGAATAAATATATGTAATCATTTATATATAATATTTATATATGAATACATATGTAATATTATATATGAATATGGGCTGGAGTGATAACACAGTGGTAGGGCATTTGCCTTGAGTGCAGTGAGCCCGGCCAAGCTGGATTCGATTCCTCTGATATATGAATATTATATATGTGAATATTATATATATATATATGAATCTGCATTAGATGGGATATTGTCAGAGGGGTAGAGGGTGAAAAAGAATGCATATTTCAAAATAAAGAAGAATATTAGGGGAAAAATATTCAAAGAACTAGAGCCTGTGGTAGAAGGCCTAACTAGATTCAAAATCCACAGACACAAATTAGGGAAGAAAAAAAATTTAAAAAAAACGGGAAAGCTGACAGACATCCCTAAATGGCCCCAGGCTTAGAGAGAGGCAGCCTTTGAGAATGTCAGACAGCCCCCAGGAGAGCCCCAGCAGGCAACAGCAGCCTCAGAACTAACCATGGCCCAGTTAACCATTCGCACTCTGGGTAAACCCAGGAAGGCAAGGACGAGACCATACTGTCAAACAATTTCACCAGCTGCTACTGGATGCCAGCAATCTCCTCAGTTCAGCATGCGATCTTTGATAAGAGGTCAGTGACCTTTACCAAGGCAACACCCCAAAATGTTGGCAGTCATCTAGACTTTCGAGTGACTAAATCCAGGTCCTTATTTAAAAGGAGGTTTCAGGAGGAAAGGAGAGAGGCAGAGTACTAGGCATTCAAAGGAGGCCGAGACAATGCCTTTTCTCACTAAAAGCTGGCACTGCTGAGGGCAAACATTGCTTTTCCAGAATTTGCCTAAGATTAGTCAGAGTTCTTTGAATAATGCATCAAATGAAAAATCATGGATCTCAGTCTGTTTGTATTGCACCGACATGCAATAAATAGTAGTAATTCAAAAAATCATTGCTGATATTTATTGACTTCTTGCCATATGCCAAGCGCTGTGCTTTACCCTCATTATTCTGTTTGAATCTAATGAGGAGATCCTGGTTGCTTTTCTTATTTTATAGCTGAAGAATCAGGCTGAGAGGCTCTTTATACAACTAGCAAGTGGTAGAGCAGGAACTCAAACCCATAACCCAGTCACGTTTAACCACCAAGTATGCGCACTAAATTTAGTTGCAATGATTTCAGCACATGGCAAAGAAGGTAGAATCCCCACTATTGAGCTGTCAAACTCATGATTTGACACACACTGTGTACATAAACACTGGACTAATAAAGGTAAAATGCAGTTATTTTCTGAAACTTCAGAAATGATAAAAACTTATGAGGGAAAAATTCAAAATAAAAAACAATGTATCTTCAGGTATGGAGACTTAGTCAAGTATAGAAATGCGAAAAAGAAAATTACATTAAATTCTATATTTCTGAAAAACAAATAAAAAAATAACCTCAAACAGAGATTTCTAAACTTATTTGGCTTACTCTACCATATTTAGAAAAAACGTTTTAAACTCCCCTCTGGAAATATGTCATTAAGCGAACCAACAGAACAAAGTACCTCCAATTTACCAAGAGGCCACTATCTGCCCCTGGGTCTTTGTGTACTTAAAGGGAGAGAATGAGTGGCAAGAGAGCCCACCTTGAGAAACATTCTTTTGCAGCTTAGAAGAATTGCTTTAAGTACAACAAAAACTTCTACTTTTCATGGGACTTTCTGCTGACCTCAGACAACCATCATCTAATCCCTGAGTAGAAAACCGTGCATGCTATCTAGTAATTTGTTTCTTTACAATTAGTCTGTTCCAGTCAATTAATCGGTCTCATAATTTTGTATTTTGCTATTTTATTATTGTCAGACATGAATAGGGCTGAGACTAGAATATGTGACTATTGAGGGAGAGGTACAAGGAGCGACTGGGGCAAAGCAGATGTTCAAGAAGTAGTTTCTGAATGAAGCACAATAGTGAAATATGGCATACCCATCTAAAATAACAGATTTACTCAGAGGCAGAGCAGATTCAAACTTTATCAATAATATCACAATATGATACATAATAAAATCAATGTGAAATGTGAATTTCTAAGTCAAAATCCAAAGCTTCCATTTCTTTTGATGCCTTTTCCAGCCCCCAGAACTTTAGGTTTAAGATCTCTCTTTTCTACTACTTCTATTACTTGGTTGAAATTTTTGGGCAAGTATATGTAGATAAAAATGTGTGTGCACATATTTAACATGGATCACTGGACACTGACCTTCATATTCACAAATGAATCTGCTTAAGAGAAGTGTTATCTTAAGGTCATTTTAGAGAAAAATAGTGCATCCTTCCTTCAGCTTATTAATAGTTAGCAGAATGAATGCCTAATAACTTCAGTGTCTGAAGGGCAACTCTCTTCCCCAGGAAAATTACTCTATGAATCACATTTTTCCATTATTACATTAAAAATATTTATTTGTTCTCATTTTTCATTAATCAACTTAGGAAAAGAAATGCACAAAATAAATCATCCTACCCTCTATTTACCACTCTTACCTCCTAAACAGGACAATTCAGAAAAAGGTTTTAAAAACCAGAAAGCACTAACTAAACAAATGTGAGTACTCATGATATGAAACAAGAGGGTCTTTTAGTACCCAAAGTGCAAGACAAGTAGCTGTGCTGAATGTCCCAAAGAATCTTTAAATTAGTATGTGGTTACTTTGAAAATTTTCAGAGGTATTAGTCCTAAGCCTTTCTTTGGAAGAGAAAAGAGTATCAGAGATTCTTCCTGGACCTCAAGGGATATTTATAAATAAATATACATACAGGGCTCTATGTTCCTGGCTCTGGGCTCAGGGAGTTCTCCTAGAAGTTTTTGGGGTGCCATATGTGGTACCAGGGATCAAACCAAAGTTGTCTACCTCCAAAGCAAATGCTTTAGCCCCTATACTATCTCTTCTGGCTGGGATTTCACATTTCTTAAAAACACTCCAGATTCAGTGCCTACCTGGTAGTATAATGGGTATGGCATTTGCTGATCATGCAGCTGACCTGAATTAGATCCCTAGCATTCCATATCATTTACCAAGTCTGCCAGGAGTGAACCATGAGCACAGAGACCAGAGTAAGCTCTGAGAACTGCTGGGTGTGGCCAAAAAACAAAAATGTACTACAGGCACAGTTACAGTATGGCCATCCACAATGGATCATTAATCATTCATATATGGGGGGGGCTCCCAAATGGTGCTCAGGAGTCCAAAGGAGCCCTCTTGGAGATTCTCAGTCAACCAAGCAGACCATTCAATGTAAGGGCGTGAGAATGTGGTATTAAATGGATCCTGGAATGTGGTGTTGCATGGCTCCTGCAATTACCCAGGCTACGTTGGCAGTGCTGAGGGTCCTTAAGGGCCATGCCCACAATCCTCAAGGTATATGTGGAACCAGCAATTGATTCAGGCTCAGCCACATGCACGACAAACACCTTAACCCCCATGCTATCTCTCTAGTCCTCATTCAAAAATTTGTCCAGAACTTGAAGGTAAAGCTTATTTGATTTTCCCACTGTATCCAATGTTAATTTTTGAACTAATTTGGTAAGAAATAGCCATCAGATGTCATAGAAGCTTAAGCAATTTAAAATATTTTCCATAGCAAGATGGTACAGGTCAAGGCTATAACTTAGTAGAGGGGAAATGAAGAGGCTCCATAAAATTTATTTTAATGATTGCTATCTGAGGAATATATTAATTTGATTATATTATGTGTTATGATATTATCATAATAATATAACCTATCTTAGAACTTTAAACTTCCCACCATAATCACACATTATACTTATATCTCTTAGATGACTCTTGTGTGGTGACTTATTCATCATAAAAATACATTTGACAGGAATGCAAACTGCTATTATTCATCCCAAGTTCACCATTCTTAAGGAAATTCCCTACTGCTCAGGGAGAAAGGATGAAGCCTTTCTTTTCCCTAAGTGATCATCAGCAAGAATATGAGAAAAAGGCATCCAACATGACAGGGAGACAAGTCAAAAGGCCAACGATCAATATGAGGATGCGCTTTCAGAGCTGTGCCTGATTAAAAGAGCTTCATGAAATATTTAAGGATGTTTATACTTACCACTTGGAAAACAGTAATCAAATTAACAGAACAGTGAAATAAATTATCAATGTCTTGCTCTAATAGAAGTAAAAAAAAATCATGCAAACATATAAATTAAGGAATTTCACAAATGCCATTAGTTAATAGAAATATTCACCCTATCATTTAGTTCCTGATAACCCACAAGTTATTATTATAAACTACTTGGAATTTATCTACTCAATCCTTTGGCCATGGTAGGATGTAGCCCACTCTCATTCTGTATAGAAGGAAAGATCCATTTAGGTTGACAAAATCCACTACAGTTAATCCTCAAAAGCGAAAAATCTGCATTTTATAATCAAGAGTTGTTGGGCATTTGATCCAATGCCTCCAACCTACTTTTGCTTCTTTCTCCAACTGACAAACAAGCAATTAGACCAAGAATCTGAAGAAACAGTCTGTACTTTAATACAAAAAATTAATTTTACCTGCCATGCCTGCTGTTAATGACTTTCAAGATGTTAGTTAGCTTAACTCCCAGTTGGTGGCACTGGGAAAATGTGGCCATGCACACTTATTGTTCTGTTTCTGTTCTTTAATCTGCCACTGGAACACAATGGAAGAGTCCAAGAGAAGGGAAGAAGATGAATCCAGGAAGAGTTGGAAGGATGGCAAAAAAAGTCAGTCAAGGAAACAATAACAAGTCAAAGACATGTGCTCACTATAGTTCGCATTCCAGAGTATTTTCAACTTGAATATAATTATGCTTTAGTTAATCACCATATTTTTATGATACTTTTCCAGTTCATCACCGTGGAAAGTCATGAAACTTTACAAACCACAAATTGCATAGTAAACATTCATCGTTGCAACTTTTTAGGAAAAGTCATAATGTGCTAAACCCAAAGAATGAGTTTTATGTTACTCAGATGTGAAATAGACTTATTTTATACATTTGAGATTTTGGCAAAACATACAAGGTAATGGGTTGAAAACACATTACACAACAGTTTTGGACTATGAAGGGAATTCCAAAAATCATCTGATCACTGTGATGGATTATGGAATAAATACCAAATAAAGCAGATTACTTGAATTATTTGAATATGCATATATTCTACCAATAGTCATCTGGAACTTTTCATATGTCTAAAATTCTCCATCCTGTCTCTCGTATATGTCACATCTTTTTTTTCTCAGACAAACACTAAATTTTTATAATAATAAAAACAGGCTTCTACTTACCATAAAATCTTTATATACCATTTTAAATTTAGAACACTTCAAAATATACCATTGCTTTTGTTCACACATCAAAACTTAGAACTCATAAAGTTGAAGAACAATATGCATCCTTCACACAAGAATTATAAAGCACATAACTTATTATTTATTTACATATGTCACATGTCATACTGACATACTTTTCTGAATTGAAAACAACGAAAGATCAGCAAAAATAAGCTAATTTATTTCTAAATAAAACAATTTAAATAGCCTGGTTTAAACACCTTTAATGAGACCCTTTTTGACATTATATAAATTTTCATTTTATAGAGTTTTGTGTCAAATTGAGAAATGTAAACTCTCTTGCAACTGGTATTGATTAATAAACTTAAATATAATGTCACTGTATGGGACATAATAAAATTTTACCTCATTAGGTGGGGGGGAGCGGTCCAGAATCTTGTATTCTTCTTTTTCTCTTGTTATTGCAATAGCAGCCTCTAATACATAGTCTTTCTTATAGAACATTTTTATCATTATAAAAAGTCACAGATAAACTAAGTGATCCAAAATGAGACTATACAAATTGCAAACAAATTATTTGTTGTTTCCGTCACCCTGTAAGTCAGAATAAGAAATAAAGGACACGAATTTTCACCAAATCATAAAAAAATCTTTTAAATATTCGTTATACAGAAAAAAAGAAAACATTACTATTGAGAGAATTATTTATACTATCATGAACTTCAAACTATTTTCACGTTTAACTTTATTATCATCAATTTGTGAACCTGAAAAGTAATAAAAAGCAAATTATTTCTACCCCCAGACAAAGCAAAGTGGTAATTTGGCAATTTTCTACTTTGAGGTCTGAATTATCTTCCTTGATCATTGACTCTGCCTAAATTCATTATAAAAATGACCAATTTACCACCTCGCTTCCCACAAGGACGACAATACTACACCATGTGGTTCCCAGGGTAGAAGAAGCAAATACTACCTGGGGACAGAGGAGCTTTCTAGAGCGCATGTAAGTAACTTAAATTGTTCCCATTATTATTTGGCTTATAAAACGATTTCCATACTTCCCATTATGAGTTCCAAAAACATACACTTTGAAGAAAGAGCCATTAGCATACATCTTTTTCTATTGCTATAAGCTGACTTACAATAAATCTCTTGCCTTGTAGAGAGATGGAACAGCGCAGGGCTCATAATAGGATGAGTGATGCATAAAATGTTCTTCAGCTCACTTCCCCTGGGATTTATACTTCCATACCTAGGAACACCGTCTGCCTGCATGGATGGAATGCTAAGCAATGCAGTAAAACAACCAATGTGTTATGTATAGCTTTTAAATTTTGCAAATACTGGAAGAAATTGCAAAATAAATAAATAAATACAAATATGTAATAAAATCCTGGTATGCATTGCTGGAAAAATATACAGTTAAAATGCACAAGATTATTGACAAGCTCATGTATTTTAGTGTGATTGTGTAAATGACACACTTTTTCCTTAGATGCTAAAAGACTGATGCATTCTTGGCAATAGGCTTAAGAGTCAGACTTCTGTTCTCTCAAAGATAACTATGCTAGGAGGAATTCTCTGGATCTAAAGCACAGGTAAAATGTTGGTCAAATAATCTATTTTTTTCCAAAACTAATAAATGGAATGAACATAAGAAAAAATGTAAGAAAACCACACCTATTTTCAAATTCTCATTCCGTTTCCTTATTTATTTTCAGAAAATTGTTATTAATTATTTTACGCCATGGTTTCAAAACAGCTTTGTTTCCAATCTAAGTTTAGCCTCTATCACCTATGTCATATTTCTTCAGGCATGAGAAGAAAAATCATTGCCCTCACTCACCTCTAGAAGAATTTCACTGCCAAGTCTCCATGGTTCTATGGGATCCAATAATCTGTGGCTCAGTATTGATTTTTCAATGACACCTGTAGAAACAGCCTCTCCTTCCTTTCTAACAAAATATAGCAACAAAAGTTCTGTAATTTCTAAATGAATCAAACGAAGCTATTAAACAAAACTTCAAACTGTGAGGAAATATGGCTTACATTTCCTAAAGGATATTATCTTTACTTGTTATTTTTCTGAACCAGTTAGCAATTTTTAAAGATAATAGAAATATATATTTGCAAGATAACTTGAACATAATTTTCTTAGGTATCACAGAGCTTAAGATTTTACAAATAGCCTTTATTTTTCTAAAGAGTAGACCTATGATGTAATCTATCAATCTTCAATTTCTAATTTAAATATATCTGGGTGAGGAGGTAGAGAGATAGTACAGGGGTTTAGAAACACACCTGTTTGTGGCTGACCTTTATTCAATGTGATTCTCTAGTACTGCTAAGAGTGACCCCTCAGTGCAGAGCCAAGGATAAGCCCGGAGCATAACTGAGTGCAGGGGAAAAAATTTTTTTTTAAATTAAAATTTTCAGGGGTGGGGCAGGAGTGATAGCACAGTGGTTAGGGCATTTGCCTTGCATGCGGCTGACCTGGCTTCGATCTCCAGCATCCCATAAGGTCCCCCAAGCACCTCCAGGAGTAATTCCTTAGTGCAGAGCCAGGAGTGACACCTGAGCATCACTGGGTGTGACCCAAAAGGCAAAAAAAAAAAATTCAGGGCCTAGAAAAATAGCTCAATAGGATGAGAGCATTATTTGTATGGAGAAAATCTTGATTTTATCCCTGGCACCGCATAGCCTAGCTCTTAGATACCCCAAACAGCACAGAGCTGGGAATAGCCCCTGAGAACTGGTTGGTGTAGCCCCCCCAAAATTTTTCAAAATTAAAAACACTTTTAATATGAAAACCACAGTCAAGCCTTTGAAATATAAACTTTTGATTAAACAGCAGTACCTTTGAGGAAATGGAGTAATGTATTAAATCCTAGGAGAGAGATGTTGGGTGATTAAAGTTTCAGGTATTTTAGAGATCAGGAGCTACCAATCACCCACTTTTTTTATTCAACATAACTCAAAAGAAAAACCACAGCTACCCCCCGCCCCAGGAGTATGTTCCCAGCATTCTTTACACACCTGATATAAACCCCAAAGGTAATTGTTTCACCCTGGGCAGACTTCGTTGGGTATGTCAGAATATATTCCCTGCAGTCATTCTGTGTGGAGCGAAGTAACTACCATTGACAACTCACTCATCATTCACTCTCACCAGTCTTAGAATCTGCAAAATAAAATGCAGCGTTGGGGAAAAAAATCTTTGCACATTTATTTTACCCAGTAAAACCCTAAAGAGTAAGATACAAAGCAAGTTGTTTCCCACAATATATGTGACATCTTGGTTAAAAGTGACACAGCTGTGTTGCATGACAGTTCAACAGATATAACAACTTGATGGTGTTACAACTCAAAAGATATAAACCTGCAAGAACCACCTCCCTGGCACAAACACTTAAGAGCAAGATAAAACTTGAATGTGATAGGCCTTTGATTACTTGCCCAATACGAAGTGCTACTGCTTTCCAAGTTCATTATAAAGTATGGTATTCTTCACATTACTGTCAACTTAGTTCTCTTTCTCTCTTTTTAAACACAGTCATTTTGATCCCTCATCAAATCCGTGCACATTCTTTAAAAAATTAGATCAATCCAAACTCCAGTTCTCATGGGAGAAGTTCCATTGTTTATCAGGCCATGTCTACACTGGCTGAGCAAAGCGCTCTGTTCAGAAGGAGAAGCGCCTTTGGCAGCTAGAGTCCACATAGCTGACCCATGGATACCCGGGTGGAGCTTCTTCACCTAATTGCACAAGTGCAATGAAATCACTAAGCATTTGATGAAGAGGACCCAAAGTGAGAAAAGAACATGACAAGCTTCTAATTTATTTATTTGGTAGTCATTTAGAACATAATATAAAGAACTGATACAAAATGGAATGCTCACACTTTGCAGGTGGCACAGAATATTGGTATTAAAAATAACTAATAACATTTGGTTAAACCCAAATCACATTCTTTCAAAACAAGGCTATGGGGAAATTATATTAAAATGTGATATTTTTTCCTAACTGGCCAAAATTAAACTTACAAGTCTGATTTTATATTAATGGGAGGAAATAATCAAAGGTCAAACCACTGAAAAGATGATTTCATCATTGCCCCCAAAAGGATTTAAATAGAAATTGATATTTTGAAGGAAAGATTTACATTCTTCCAAATTTTACCATGAAGATAGGCCATAATTATGGATAGATATCTATTCTAGGAATAGGACAATGCCCCCAATTGAGATGTTGAGACCCTTTTGTAAAGTTTTAGCAAAAAAAAGGCTTAGCCAGAAAAATGTGAAATTATAGTCTTTCTCCTTTATCTGCTAAACCACACTCTTTCATATAAAATAATAGGAAGGACAATCACTATCAATCACCTTAGGAATTGTGCCAAATTTCCTATTGATGAGCAAGCAGAGTTAGATCAAATTGCTTAATGGACTAAAATCTCTCACCCCTGTGTATAACTACCAAGAGTGTCAGGGAGCAAATAATTCTGCTGCTAAAGAAATAGCACTGTAACCCTGTAGCACTGTCCTCCCATTATTCATCGAGTTGCTCGAGCGGGCACCAGTAACGTCTCCATTATGAGACTTGTTGTTACTGTTTTTGGCATATCGAATATGCCATGGGCTGAAGTGATAGCACAGCGGGTAGAGCATTTGCCCTGCCTGCAGCCAACCCGAGTTCGATTCCTGCACCCCTCTTGAAGAGCTCGGCAAGCTACCGAGAGTATCCCGTTCACACAGCAAAGTCTGGCAAGCTAAAGAAATAAGAAGTGAATATTTGAATGTTCTGGATTCCATCAGAACTATGATCCAAGAGCTGAATTTTATCACCATCCATATCATTCGCAAGTACATTTGCTACAAAGAGTCCAAATACTAAAAATTCTCAATCATATGAATTCTGCAGAGTTGCTCCCATTTTTTTTGCTACTCCCATCTAAAACTTTTCAAGACAATGGTTATTCTTTTTTTATTTGGTAACTCTAAAATTTAGGGGCTAAATATTTAGCATAGAGCAAAATTCTACCTTCAGACTAATTTGTGACAATACATTCACTGTTACTGTCACTGTCCTCCCGTTGTTCATTGATTTGCTCAAGTAGGCCCAGTAATGTCTCCAATATGAAACTTGTTGTTTGGCATATCGAGTACGTCACAGGGAGCTTGTCAGGCTTTGCCGTGCGGGCGAGATGCTCTTGGTAGCTTGCTGAGCTCTCCAAGAGGGGTGGAGAAATTGAACCCGGGTCTGTCTGGGAGGCAGCGTGCAAGGCAAACGCCCTACCTCTGTGCTATCACTCCAGCCCCTGTGCTATCGCTCCAGAATTTTAAATTATCACTCAAATTTTTAAACCAAAGTTCATGTGGATGGTTTGGATTTGCTTTGCTTAGCAAAATCCATCTGAGATAAATCTTCTAGGATCTTCTCTTTCTAAATGAAAACTGTAAAAGTGTGTAAATACAAAAGTACCGTTGATATATTTGTCACATATTATGTGAGCATTCCGTGGTAAGAATGTGGATGAAGAAATATTATAGAGACCCTGATAATACTATAGGTCAAGCAATGCTCCATATGCTTTATCTATAAAATCTGTTTTACTGTCAGGATAAATCTTTAAAATAATGGGAATTATCATTCCTTCTTTACAGATAAGGAATTGAAACCCAGGGGGCAGTAGGATCTTATCCAGATCACATGGCTACAAAATGCCAGAGCTGGGGTTTTAATCCACACAGATTAGTACCAGAGTTTATCATTTTGCTTATTCTCTTCACAATAACTGGATACAGTTATCAAAACAAAGTATTTATGAATGGGTATCTTTATTATATATTTATCAACATCATATATTTATAAAGGTGATTTGGCTTATTCCTAATGCCTATGATAAAAACTTTACAGTTATAAAAATTAAGCTTAATTTTTCTGCTTCTGATACACATTTTAGTCCATACTAAACCAGTATCTCCTTCCATTTTACTTCAAAAGCCTAAGTTCTGGAGAGTCCTTTCTTATCCAAAGTAAAAAATATCAAATAAGAAAGAATTATAAAATTAAACATGAGCAAGTAGTCCATGTATCTAATTATCTCCTATGGTAATCCGTCCTATGTCTAATTATATCCTAATGTGATCAAGGCCTCCTGATGGTAAATTCTGATAATACTTTTAGTAAATTAGAAAAGTTTTGCTATTTTGGTTGGAAGTTTAAACTTTAGTAACATTAGTTATGTTCATTGCAAACAACCAATAAAAATTTAACAATGAATATTCATTATGAGATGCCAGAGAGATCATACAAAGGGTGGGGTGCTTATCTTACCAACCTAGGTTTGATTCTCGAAACCTCATCTGGTCCCCTGAGCCCTGCCTGGAATAATCCCTGAACTCAGAGACATGACTAAATTCTGAGCACCACAGGATGTCACCCAAAAAACAAAATAAAAGCTATTTATGGAGATAGGACATTGTAAATTTATTCTCCTTAATTTTGCTAGAACACAGGTAAATCACAGAAAAAAACAAAAAAAGAATTCCTAAAAAGTCAAAAAAATAGCAGAACTCACACTGCTGCCAACGTTCACCTTAAAAAGCCAGAGACAGTAGAGGTAAGGTCCAGGAGAATCACTCACTGGCTTGGAAGCCAGCCTTACATGTTCAGGGAAAAGGCAGCTGGGATAGAGAAGGGATCACTACGTAAATGATGCTTGGAGGGCTTGATCAGGATGGGAGGTGCATGCTCAAAGTAGATTATGGACCAAACATGATGACCACTTAACACCTGTATTACAGACCATTAACAACCAAAAGGAGAGAGAGAGTAAAAGGGAATACGATTGCTACAGAGGCAGGGGTGGGGGTGTGGTGGGATGGAGGTGGCAGGAGTGATACTAGGAACGTTGGTGGTGGAGAATGGGCATTGGTGGAGGCATGGATGCTCAATTATTGTATGACTGAAATGAAATCACGAAAGTTTTTAAGTCTGTAACTGCATCTAATGTTGATTTATTAAAAATAAATGAATGAATAAATAAAAGATTCTTAGGAAAAGCTTGAAAAGTGAACTAAGAGGGGAAAAAAAGGCCAGAGACAGAATTTTACTTTTTAAAGACATTTTAAGCAAAACAAAAACATTGCTTGCTTAATTGTTTGTTTCTTTATATTATAAAACTGGATTTCTGCATAATTATAGAAGTGAAATTGATCCGGACAACCAAGATGTAATTTTAATACAATTCAAAAGCAGTAAAACTGTCCACATATCCTGTTTTTCTGTTTTCTTCTTTGCTCCCTTCCCTTCTCTATCTTCCAGAAGCTTAAGGCCATGCTTGTATGCCCTTGTGTCCCAACTTTATGAGGCCACATGGGTGACTTCGAAATAGCTGTTTCGGAACCTGAAATAGAAAATTTCCATTGCAAAGAGAGAGTAATGCACATACTAGAAGAAAATGACTCGCTGAATGCCTGCTTGCATTGAGCTATTTGGTAAGTGTTATACAAAGAAAAGGGAACAGATTGAAATCTTTTTCCTTTCAGTTCTAAAATGGACATCACCATTTGAGAGAAATGAGAGAGCAATATGCCCAGAGGCCCAGCAGGAGAAACACGGAGAAGCTATTTTAGGTAAAGTTCACACTTTTGTCTGGCTATTCCCAGGATGCAATGAACTGCATTTTTGCAACTCTGGCACCATGGGACTTGAGAAGCACTTGTTGGTCCCCAAGGAGCTACAGTGAGAGGGAGACTTTGCCTTAGAAATTTCCCAGGGCCTGCAAGGCAGTATGTACTTTGAAAAAACACAAAAAGAAGGAAGTATTGATAGAGTAGCACTCTGGTCAAGCATTACATTTTTGAATAAAGGCACACATATGCAGCCTCATTTAGTGTAAAGAGAGCAGAGAGAAAAAGCAGATGTGAGACAGAACACATGAAGTTCAGATTCTAATCTGATATCTGAGCGGTTGAAACTTTACCCCTACCAATGTTCAGAAGACACAAATTCATGAACTCAAAGACCAACAGATTTTCATTCTGAAATAAAATTGTAGCAATAACCACCCAACAGTTCCCTAGATGAGTACCATCATGGGTTCCAGAAATAGTTACCTGCCTAAAGAACCAAGTGAGAGGCAGTTCCACAATCAGAATTCACAAAGAAGAAAGTGG